GGGCTGCAGGAGGCGGGCGAGCGAGCTGGGTCGACTTGCGCCAGAGAGGTCGAGGGGCTTAAGCGCCGCCCCCCCACTGTAGGGGGGCGGCCTAAGCCTTGAGTTCAGGGTTTAGGGTCTAGGGTCTAGGGTTTAGGGTTTAGGGTCTAGGGTTTAGGGTTTAGGGTTTAGGGTCTAGGGTTTAGGGTTTAGGGTTTAGGACCCCAAACCCTAAAACAATGCCGGAACTTGGTGGCCCGGAGCTGCACGGCAAGGCTTGAAACCTGCCCTGTCCAAGAATTCAACAACGGACACGTTTTGGGTGACACCAATTCAGTGATTAGGGTTTAGGGTTTAGGGTTTAGGGCTCCGCCTTAAGAATAATAGAAGATTGCAGGCGCATGGTCAACCTGCTTGTGCCGAGTGGTTTCGGTATTACCAGGAGGGTTCTTGCTGCTCGCTTGTGTGCCATTGACATTGTGTGCCATTGACATTGATATTACAGTACTACTTTAATATCACCCCCACCATCTTCATAACTTTTCGCGCTCTTTGTTGCTGTGATATCACGACTCATCCTAAACATCCCTAAGCCCAAAACCCCAAACCCTAAACCCTAAGCATCCCTAAACCCTAAACTCTAAACCCCAAAATTTCCTCCAAAGGCGGACCCTCTGCTCGTTTCCGTGGAGGACATTGGAGGCCCTCTCACGTGCCCTGCGCCAGTCGACGAAGATGCAGAGCCACACAGCAAAGAAACAAAGCCAGACCTGAGCCCTAACGCCAACGGACATTAGGGTTTAGGGGTTTAGGGTTTTGGGGTTTAGAGTTTTGGGCTTTTAGGGTTCTAGGGTTTAGGGTTCAGGGTTTAGGATTTAGGGCAGTAAGATCGTCTGAGACCGGAAAAAGATTGCATGAAAGATCCCGATGACATGCCGAGAAGCAATGCACTTCGTTGCAAGAGGGAGAGGATTCCATTTGCTGATTGCGGGAACCGAAAACAGCCCAACTTGCTGCTGCACAGCGATGGCAATGATGGGAGGCAGCGCCACAACTGCTGTATTGAGGATCAGTAGCCACAGCACCCTGAAAAAGATGTCAATGCCCTGAAGTGTCAAGCATCCTTCACCGGAGCCGTGACAGCAGCTGGACAGCATGAAACACAACACCACAGTGACGAGCATACCGGCCACAGCAAGCCAAGCAAGCCAATGTATATGCAAAGAGGCTGACACAGCTACGTCTGCGAGCCAAGCTGGAAGAGGCCATGATTGTGGCAAGAAGGCGGAACTCAAATAGGCGAACTGATGTTCGTACTCCTGGTACCACTGATGCTCCACTGTACGCCTCAGGTAGCCAGCATGCTCAGTGTTGAGCTTCGCCGCTGCAAGCATCTCTGCATTCCAGCCGTATTCGTTCACGGTCGTAAGCGGCGCCTCCATCCTTATTTTAACAGATATAAACCCTAAACCTTTAACCTAATTCTTGTTATGTGGTAAGAAAGAAATACCCACAATATGCAACCTGTCCCGTGGTCTTGGCCACCACATCGGCGGAGGTGATCGGGATAATGTCACCATGCAAGCCTGTATTACGCAACGTCATCACATTCCACAGTGTCGAAACACAACAAGAAACTAAAGTCACCCGAAACGAATCAAGCATCAGGTACCAAGCCATCCCCGAGAAGCGGCGGGGGCTACAGTAGTCGTCATCATAGAAGTAGTAGCGGTAGCAGTAGAGGCAGCAGCAGCGGCAACGGTAGTTGCAGCAGAAGCGGTAGAAAATCTCCTGGAGCCGACAAGACGGCGATTCAACAGCTTAGGCCGCACCAAACCGACCTAAAACTCCCCTAAAGCCTCAACCCTAAACCCTAAACCCTGCCTATGGCTATGACAAGAGCAAAGCATCATTGTGTAGAGTCGAACCAGCTCCGGGAAATTGATGACGGCTGCATCGTGGTCACTGTCATCCTTCCATGAAAGAAGAAGACACAAAGGTTCGGCTCATGGTTGGGGGCATAAGGGCTTACGGGTTTAGGTTTTAGGGTTTAAGGGTTCAGGGTTTAGGGTTTAGGGTTCAGGGTTTGGGGTCTAGGCGGTGTATACTAGGCTGGTAACTCCTGGGGAACAAGGAAGCATGTTTTTGCATACTCATACATTTGTAAATAGAAATGTGACTTCCGTTTGTATGTAGCAGAGACCCAGAAACCCAAAAAAAAGCACAAACATGCCACTGAACAACCTGGTAGAGGATTTCTCATACACCCTAAACCCTAAACCTTGGGGCTTAGAACCCTAAACCCTAAACCCTCACAGAACTTCTTGGGGCTCAGAACCCTAAACCCTAAACCTTAACAGAACTTCTTGGGGCTCAGAACCCTAAGCCCTAAACCCTAACAGAACTTCTTGGGGCTCAGAACCCTAAGCCCTAAACCCTAACAGAACTTCTTGGGGCTCAGAACCCTACGCCCTAAACCCTAACAGCACTTCTTGGGGCTCAGAACCCTAGACCCTAAACCCCAACAGAACTTCTTGGGGCTCGGAACCCTAAACTCTAAACCCTAAACCCTAACAGAACTTCTTGGGGCTCAGAAGGACGCAAGGCGTCTCGATGCCAACGACCCGCAAACTGCAAAGGCGCACCGGGGGCGTTCACACGCGGAAAAAGGGCTCCAAGCGTTTACTGTAGGGTTTAGGGTTTGGGGTTTAGGGTTTGGGGTTTAGGGTTTAGGGTTCAGGGCCAGAACTCAGAAGCTGCTGTCAACTTCGTTGAACCTAGACCCTCAAGCCTAAACTCTAAACCCTAAACCTGAAACCCTGAACCAGACACACTAAAATGACTACAATCCTAAACCCTACAGCCTGAACACACCAAAGCGTCAATCCGAAATGTTGCTTATCTTGGGGTTTAGGGTTTGGGGTTTAGGGTTTAGGGTCTTGGGTCCTCTGCTGCCAGCATCAGCACGGTTTTCTGATTGAAAAGGCCAGTAAGCGTGAAGGAGTCGGGGGCCTGTGCCCCAATCCACACAACTCCATCCATGTTCTCAGTCTGGTGAGGCTTGCGAGAGCCGGGGGTTCAGGTCAGGTCTCGGTTTAGGGTTTAGGGTTTAGGGTTTAGGGCATGCAAAAACCAAAAACAAAAAGCCGACATCACATGCTCCCGTGAATGGAAAACTCATGGCTTTTGACCTTGGCTGCCTTTCAAGTCATTTTCGTCACGACTGACAGTAGCTGTCAGTAAAGTTGAAATTTGCCTGCAATGCCTGAAACTCGGGGGTTTAGGGTCTAGGGACATTGAATACTAAACGCCAGCACCCTAAACCCTAAACCCTCAAACCTAGACCCTAAACCAGACTATCCAAGCAGCATTGCCCCCACACGCAGGACTTTGGCGCAACTCGGCAATGCGATCCCAGCTGAGGTGGACCGCATCCCGCACCAAATCGTGCAAAATCGTCCTGGCGGGGGCAACAAAAGCCCAACCCTAAACCCTGAATGGGGGGGGATCGAGGGATCTGGGCTGACCGTTCATGGGCAACCATAGAGGCCTTAAGTGGTTGAATAGGGCTCTGGGCGTAGAGCAAAGTATAAATGTATCGAGGAATGCTGGTGGTCATTCCGGGTCCCGATATTTACCGTTCAAGGCTCAACAAGCGTTCCCTCGCACCCTGCCAAAGCCTAACCCCTTGACTGCTGAGTTCTAAAGAGCTAGAACACCCTGAACCTTACCCTGTGCTTGAACCCTAAACCCCTAAACCCGAACAGCTGCACGTCCGGGGATGCTCAAAGAAACTGCAAGAAGGGCGACAAGTAAGCCATAGACCAAAACAAGCCCAGAGGAGAAGCCCTAAACCCTAATTCCCCCCAAACGCTACCCTTTTAAAGACTTATATAAGAAAATCATAATACGGAACACCAAAAAACCCCTAATTGCCTTAACCCTAAACCCCCCAAGCAAGCCCCCAAACCCTGAAACCCTGAACCCTAAAGCCTAAACCCTAAACCCTAAACCCCTTAAGCCCCCAAACCCTGAAACCCTGAACCCTAGAGCCCTAAAGTCAACAACCCTGATACCCTAAACCCTGAAACCTTAAACCCGAATTCCCGAGAACGGCTTATGGTTTAGGGCTTAGGGTTTAGGGTTTAGGGTTCAGGTTCTAGGGTTTAGGGTTTTTCGGTGTTTAGGGCTTAGGGTTTAGGGAGTTGAGGGTTCCGAAAGCCTTGCGAAGGCATCTCGAACCATACTTCTGTAGCCATTGTCTGGGCGGACCACATGGCAGACCTCAAGAAGTTAGTAGGGTTTAGGGTTTAGGGTTTAAGGTTTAGGGTTTAGGGCTTAGGGTCTAGGGATTAGGGTTTAGCATTCAGTTTAGGCCCTTTGATGTTGAAGGCTTGGGTTCAAGGGTTGAGACGAAGGAAAGATCGCTGACGGGCTAGCGAAAGCGCCAAAAAGACTTCGCAGAAGTACTTGCGTTTGGGGTTAAGGGTCAGGGTTTAGGGTAAGATAACCCTGCACTCTAAACCACAAAGCCCCTGAAATCTAGACCATATTTCCTAGGCGCAGATGTTAGGAGCTCCTGCAAACACCACCCAAATACGGATCCTAAATTTTCGGATCCGTACAACATAGGCTTCCCCAACAAGCGAAAATGGCCCCAAAGTAACAAAAAACACACAATTGCTGGGCGTATCCTTTGGAGCACGCAAAAGCCTGCCGCCCAAACTTCACATACTCCCGAAGGTAAGCAAAGACTATTTCAGGATCCGTGGAACAAACCTAATATAGGGGGCCTTAATGATTAGAATAGGGCTTTGGGGTATATCACACCATAATTACAAACTACAATAAGGAACCGTCAAAATAGTAGAGGTAACTATCTCGGCCCATATATTCGTTGAAACGACACCCTGACATAGGAACCTGGTTAAGAAATCCTGCGCCTGTGTAGTACACTTTACTTCCCTAAACCCTAAGCCCTAAACCCTAAACCCCCAAAAAAATACCCTACACCCTAAACCCCAAACCCAAAAATAATACCCTTATCCCTAAACCCAAAACCCAAAAAAAAATTCTGACAAAAGCCAGTAAGAGACCAGATCGCTGCTGCCCCAGAGGAAACCGCTCCTGAGCTACCCAGAAGCCCCGAACCCTAGAGCCGAACCTTTTAATCCCCAAATCGTGGGTGTGGCAAGGCGGTTTAGGGTTCAGGGTTTAGGGTTTAGGGTCTAGGGCTTAGGGCTTAGGGTTTAGGGTTTAGGGTCTAGGGTTCAGGGTTTAGGGTTTAAGGTCTAGGGTTTAGGGTTTAAACAACGAAACTCGATGCAAGTTAAGGGCAACTCCCTCAGTGACACAGTGCGTCTTGTACTACTTTCAGGCATGTTCCTTGATTGAAGGATTTTGTAACGAGTTGCAGAGCTCGCTTATCTGGCCCAGCGCTTACCAAGCTGTTGGGGCGGGGTGGCTTTAAGGCGTTAATGATTTCTGGGTTTGGGTTTTTTGGGGTTTCATCTTGGGCTTTGAGGCGTCAACTTTGTTTTGGGGCTCGGGGTTGCAGGGTTTGGCGTAGTTTCGAAAGCTTGACGGGCTTTGCTTGAAGGATTCGGGCTTACCTTGCCCCAAACCCCGGTAGAACCCTTTTAAGTACTAGGTTCTTGGATCACAAGATATCACAAGTAAGGTTTAGAATTCAGGGTTCTTTGTGGTCGGGCTGTTGGCTTTGCAGTTGAACGGCGGTTGTGCTGAAGCTGATAGAGGGGCCTCGTAACATAAGGTTTGGGGCTTCAGGGCTTTAGGGCTTTAGGGTTTAGGGGACTATGATAATATCATGGGGCCTGCGTAGTTTCAATAGGAGTCTGAGTCTGGTAATTGTCGTGAAATTATCCAAGGGCTGCAAGGGTATGCGGTATACTCTGCTATTGATACTGCTCTGACTCCGACCACTGCTTCAAATTCGGTTCAGATCAGAGCAGGGGGCTCGGAATGGGTTCCTATGCGAGGTCTTCGCCATTGCTTGAAAGGCCCCATACAAGAAGTCCTTTTGAACTTTAACCGAGACCCCAAATCCCGGAAAATGGTGAAAAACAGGCTGCTGTAACCCCCTCAAGCCACACAGCCAAACGGATGGTTGAGAGAAGATGTACAGTAATTCTTGCGTAAGCCGGTAATTACTATGGACAAAAGGGAATGGGAACACCGAAGACCCACAGAACCCTTACCTAGCCTTACTTCGGGTTTAAGGGTTTAAGGGTTTAAGGGTTTAAGGGTTTAGGGCTTATGGTTTAAGGGTTTAGGGTTTAGGGCTTAGGGCTTAAGGTTTAGGGTTTAGGGCGTAGGCTTAGTCTATCCAAACCTACAAGTCCACTGTAGGCGGGCCCGGTCACTCAAGCAGAAGCCGAATGATTTGGATGCGATCTTCCAGGTCTCCCCCATGCTGCCGCGCATGCTCGGCATCCCTGGTGGCACTTACCCCGAACCCTAAACCCTGAACCCAAAAACCCTAAACCCCAACTCCTAAACCCTGAGGAAAGTATTAAGCTTACAGTTTCATAGCCCAAAGAAACCCTAAGCGAACCCCCTAAACCCTAAATCCAGACAAACCCTAAACCTGAACGCAAAGAAACCCTAAACCTTGGCTACTGCCCCCCCTACAGCAACAGTCCATAATGGGGCTGCTAAGCCTTATACATCCATATCATGAACATTACTCAACTGTTACTGAGTGGGGGCAGTATCCAACATAACCCCAAAGCAACCCTAGATCCGAACCACAAAGAAGCCCTAAACCGAAAGAAGCAATAACCCCTGAACTCACAGAAGCCCTATCCTGGAGGCCATAAAGTTGGGGCGTCATGGGCTTAGGGTTTAGGGTCTTTTTTTATCCCTATGGCCTTAAGGTAAAGTATAAGGGATCCTAGCACAAATCATCTTAAACCCATGTTCCAACTTTACTATAAAGCCTTTGTAGGAGAGTTTAGAGAATTCTATAGGGCTCCGATTATAAGCCCAAGAAACCCTAAACCCAAAGAAACCCTAAGTCGAAGAAGCTCTAAACGGAATACAGGGACCCGAATAATTGGAAAGAGGCTTCGGCTCCTCTGCAGTATAGTTATAAGAAGGACCCCTAAAGAGTAATAGTTGTAATTACTTAGGCTTCTCTATTTCACCCTAAACCCTAAACCCCGAAACCCTAGACCCTAAACCCGAAACCCTAAACGCTGTAAACATAATCCTAAACCCTAATCCCTAAACCCTAAACCCGGGCCAAGGCACCACTCCAGAAAGTTCATGAGGATCCGCTCGTTGGCGTGGCGCGTCATGTGCAAAGCAAGCTCGAGGATGGTCAAGGAGAGTTTCTCCTTTCTGGGTTTAGGGTTTTAGGGTTTAGGGTTTAGGGTTTAGGGTTGAGGGTTTAGGCTTTGGGGTTTAGGGTTTAGGTTCGGGTTGAGAGTCTAGGGATAGGGGATGTAGGTAGGGCTGCGAGGATTTGGGGTTTGGGGCTGCGGGTGCGTAGAATTAGGGTTTAGGGCTTGCGCGGGGTTCGGGGTTAGGGGTTTGTGGTTTGGAGTTTAGGGTGTAGGATTTTGGGTTGAGGGTTGGCCATGGCAAGTCGGCATGCTTAAAGTCTTGGTTCAAGAACCCTAAACCCTAAACCCTAAACCCATTCTCGTTTGGGGCCGAGGCTCCGAACGATTGGGTTCAAGGGCTTAGGGGCTCAGGGATTTAGGGTTCTGGCCGGGTTTAGTGTTTCTTTATGTTTAGACAAAGCCCAAAAAGAAATAAAAGTCTGCAAGCACAACGGCCAAAGCTCCATCTTGCTCGACTGAAGATGCTGGTCATAAAAGGGCTCTTCGTAGACCACGCGGTGACGTGCCATGTAGTCCAAGTCGCTGCAGGACATCTCAGGATAAGCTCGGTCGCATGAGCTTGAGTTCACGTTGTGCAAGTACGCATCGCCAAGGTCACAAGCAGAAAGACCATCAAGAAGGTGTCGCAGCGCCTGGGCCATCCATAGTTTCGGGTAATGTAAGTAAACTCATCCACCCCCAAAACCCTAAACCAAAAAAGCCTGAACCCCTCAAATCCGCAATCCCCGAGACTCCTATAAAGTTGCCTCAACCCCTTAAACTCTCGAACCCCCCAGCCCTAAAACCCTAAATCCTAAGACCCTCAAAACCTCAGTGCAGCATAGTGTCCGGAGCATTGCCAGCCACAATCAGCTTGTTCCTAAGTTTCCCGCCAGTGTCCCGGCAGCAAGGGCTTATAGGACATACACAGGGTTTACGGCATAGGGTTGAGGGTTTAGGGTTTAGGGTTGAGGATTTCGGTTCAGGATCTAGGTTTCGATTTGGTGAAACTGAAGGCGTGGAAATTTTTAAGGACTAGAATACCTCGATCTGGTTAAGGGCCAAGTACTAGTTCGACTGCTAAACTCTAAACCCTAGATCCTAAACCCTAAACCCTGCATCCTAAACCCTAAACCCAGATCCCTCAACCCTAAACCCTAAACCCCAACCCTAAAAGGAGAGGCTACTCCTGTCGGAACCCCAGCTTCATCCTGGCCAGCACCTGGTCGAGCGCGGCAGTGTCCCGGTGATGCTTGCACTTTGTGGGGCCACCTGCTGGAGGGTTTAGGGCTTAGGGTTGAGGGTTTAGGGTCTAGGGTTTAGGGTTTAGGGCCCCAAAGTGGGGCCACCTGCTAGAAGGGTCCGGGCTTTAGGGCCTAGGGTTGAGGGATTAGGGCTTAGGGTTTAGGGTTTAAAGTTTAGGGTTGAGGGACTTGGGGGCTGAACCTCGAACCTAACCGGAAACCCCAACGAAAGCCCAAAAGGCCCTGAGCTGCAAACTCCACTACCCTTCTAGAACGCTCTAGGACCTCGATAGAACCTCGATGCAGCCCGAAACGCCCGGACCTTAAAGCCTGAACCCCTGCATACCCTAAACCCTAGAAAACCCTAAACCCTAAAACACAAAAAGAACTAAGCCCTAAACCCTAGAACCCTAAACCCTAGAACCCTAAAACCCTGAACCCTAGAAAACCCTAAAACCCTAAACCCTAGAGCCCCAAAGCCCGGCTTTAGAGCTTCGATGCTTTCGTAGGAGGGTTTCGAGCCCGCTCCGTCAGGGGTTCCCTTTTTCGGAGGCTCCGAAACCCCTCAAATTCCAGGTTTGGGGTTTAGGGTTTAGGGTTTAGGATGTAGGGTTTAGGGTTGAGGGTTTAGGATGATAGGGTTTAGGGTTTAGGGTTTAGGATGATAGGGTTTAGGGTTTAGGGCTTAGGGTTTGGAGTATGCCGCAAATTAAAATAGGGGCCTTAAGAATTAGAATAAGCTGTTGTGATATACAGTCCTAAAAGAGTATAGTATAAAGATCCCCCAAAAATAGTACTTGGTAATTTTTTAGGCCGACTAAACTATGGGGCATCCTTTCCTCTGAAATCAGAAGGTCTAGTCTATGCATCCTTACTGGGGTGTCCTTTTCTGATTCACACCTACGGTCTACTGCTTCAATTGAAGAACTCCCCTAAACCCCAAACCCGAAATCCCACACCCTAAAACCCTAAAACCCTAAAACCCTAAACCCGAAACCCTAAACCGAATCCCAACTCCAATCAGAAATCCGTCCCGACGGGCCTTCCGGCTTCGCTGCTTCCACCTCCGGCTCCTTCACCTGACAGCAACTCCCAGAGTGCACGGTTTAGGGCCCTAAGCCCTACACCATAACCCTAACCCCTAAGCCCTAAACCCAAAGCCTTACACCATAACCCTAAAACCCTAAAACCCCAAAACCCTAAAAACCCTAAACCCTAAAACCCTAAAGCCCCAAACCCTAAAACCCCTAAACCCCTAAACCAACCCTGAGCCCTAAGCCCTAAACCCGAAGCCCTAGGCCCTACCCCATCAAGCTTAAACCCAAACCTCATCGCTTCGGATCTCGAAGCTTCGGGTCGGAGGGACAGATGAAATCAGGGCGACCCTTCTCTACATAATACGGTTAAGGGTTAAATCCTGACTTAATTAAGGCCTGCATAGGAGGCAGTGGGGACATGCATAAAGGGTTTAGGGTTTGGGGGTGTCAGGGTTTNNGGGCTTAGGGTTTAGGGTTACTTTTTTTACCGATGGATCCATATTTCAGACGAACGATCCTACGACTTGCGGGGTCTGTGTGGGGGCTACCTTTTATCACGGCCCCTCATCCTCAGGGACTTCGTTATTTGGATGTTTTCTAGAAGTCGGGTTTAGGGGTTTTTTTTGGATTTAGGGTTTTAGGACTTTTAGGGCTTTAGGGCTTTAGG